CCAAAACCACAGAGAAACCCTGTCTCGGAAAAGAAAAAAAAGAAGAAAAAAAAAAGGTGATACATTTACACAATGGAGTACTACACAGCAGGAAAAAATATCGACAGCTTGAATTTTACAGGAAAATGGATGGAGCTAGAAAACATTATTTTGAGTGAGGTAACGCAGACAATTATCACATGTACTCACTCATAGGTGGTTTTTAAACATAAAGCAGAGAAAGCCAGCCTACAAATCACAATCCCAGAGAACTTAGACAACAATGCGGGCACCAAGAGAGACTTACATAGATCTAATCTACATGGGAAGTAGAAAGTAGAAAAAGACAAGATCTCCTGAGTAAATTGGGAGCATGGGGACTTTGGGGGAGGGCTGAAAGGGAGAAGGAATGGCAGGGAGGGGAGCAGAGAAAAATGTAGAGCTCATAAATATCAATTTAAAAAAAGTAAAAAGAAATAAAGAAAGAAAGAAATCTTGCCAAATCTTTTAATGTCTATAAGCCAAGTAAATCTGTCCTCTATCTAATAAGGGCACTGACTAGGTCTCTAGTCATTGCTATTAAAATAATAACATGACTCTTTAACCTTTTCTTTATAAAAGACTTTATCAAGTTACATCTCTTAAAAATAAAAATTCAAGTAAAAGGCTTAATCAGGAAAGGGTGGCACAAGAATAAAAGGTAAGACAAGATGACCTATGATTCAAAGAAAAGAAAGCAGGGCCTGGTGGTACACACCTGCAAACGCAGCACTTAACAGGTGAAGGCGTCAGGACTGTGAGTTGAAAGCTAATGTATGCTACAGGGTGAAGCCTTGTCTCAGTAAACAACAAAAGGATAAACTAGAAATTAAGTGTCACTGCACTGCTCATTAAACACTATAAAACAAACTCATATGTATAAATATATAGTCTAACTCTAGTATATATACTATATATAGACTATATGAAGCTTGCAATCTAGGGCCGGGAATGATGGCATACACCATTCTAGCCTTTAGAGGCAGGAGCCAGCCAAGTCGATAAGTGAGTTCCAGGATAGTCAGAGCTATTATACAGAAAAACCCTGTCCCAACTCCACAGAATTCCACAAAACCCCACAAAAAAGACTGTCATCTAGGACCTTCTGAAAACTACAATTAATAGTTAATTCAGTAAGAAAACTCTTCTTATAGTTTTTCAGAAAAAAATTTTGAAGTTTATAAAAAATTTTAGTTTTTAAATCAAAATTTTAATAAAATTTCAGTAAAATAATTTTACCTCAAGCATTTCATGATACCGTTAATTTCAACTGTGTAACCACACAAAATTGTCTTGTAAAAAATAAGGTTTTTTACTCCAAAAATAAAAAGTATATGCAGTAACTATAACATTTACAGGTTATCATTTTTAGAATCCAAGAAGAAAACAAAGATAACTAATGATTAAATTTATTTTAAGAACAAAGCCTGGAGAGGTGGCTCTGCAGTTAAGAGCACTGGCTGCTCTTCCAGAGGTCTGAGTTCAATTCCTAGCAACCATATGGTGGCTCACAATCATCTGTAATGAGATCTGGAGTGCCATCTTCTGGCCTGTAGGCAGAACATTGTATATGTAATAAATCTTGGGAAGAAAAAAATAAAGGACAAAATAACAGATGCAGACTCGTTGTACTCTTACAAAGAATGCTTTTTCTGGTTTTGTATGTTTTGAGCCAAGGTCAAGTTTGACTCAGAAGGTCAAACTGTTCTAGAATTTACTATGGTTGGCCCAAACTGGCCTCCAACTATGATGATTCTCCTACCTCAGTCTCTCCTGAGAACTGGTATTAAAGGCATGAGCTACCACATCCATTTCATTAAGCAATTTTTAACTAACAGGGTGTTGAAGAAGAACTAAGTGGATCTGTAACTTCCAGGCCAGTCTTATCTACAATGCAAGCTCCAGGCAAGCTAACTGAGGTTCTGCCCACCAAAAAAATTATTAATTGGATAAAATTAATTTCTGAATAAAGTTCACATGGTTCCTAATGAAAATATTTCTAGTATCTTTCAATAACAATTTGAAGCATGAAAACAAATGAATGTTCAGGAAAAATCAGATTAATTTTATACATGTATATAGGTATTTTGCCTACATATAAATCTGTGCGCCGTGTACAAACAATACCTCTGTAGGTGAGAATAGAGTATAGATTCCCTAGAAGGATCCCCTGGAACAAACAGTTGTGAGCTTCCACATGGGTGCTAGGAATCCAACCTGAATCCTCTGGAAGAGCAGCCACTGCTCTTAACTACTGAGTCATCTCTCTAGTCCCTGAAAAATCACACTTTTAGTAATTTGTTTTTAAAAACAAACAAACAAAAAAACCCTGACACTTTTTGGTATCTTTAATGTATCTCATAATATTCTTTAGTAAGTTTCTACACAGAAACAACACACTAAATTATAGAAGAAAGCACAATCTATCTCAAAATGTTCTTATGAATATTTCTAACAGGGATAATAATAATTTCATGGGCTTTCTTTACTCAATACAAGGTGGAAATATTCCAATGAAGGACTGTTATTTTTCAGAAGAAAAGTTGGTAGTATGAAGGTTACAAAAGATATAAACTGAAAAACGACAGACATGAAAAAAAAAACAATAAAGCATTCTGATTATGGTGACACACGCCTTTAATCCAGCATTTGGCAGGCAGAGGCAGGTAGATCTCTGAGTAAAGGCCAGCTTGGTCTACAGAGGGAGCTCCAGGACAGCCAGCCACAGCTCTCTTTGACTTTGACACCAGCTTGGTCTACATAGCACATTCCAGAACCACCAGGGCTACAAAGTAAAACCCTTTTTATGGATGGATGGATGGATGGATGGACGGACGGACGGACGGACGGACGGACGGACGGACATCTCAACATTTGGGGAAGCAAACTGTCCAAGATATGAATGAGGACTAGAGATACTGCTTAGTTGACAGCGTAATTTGTCCAGTAAGCACGAAGTCCTATGTCTGATCCCCAGAATCGCATAAGCAGATATGGTAATTTATACTTGTAATTCCAGAACCCAGGATGTAGAGAAGGAAGATGTTCAGGGTCTTAAGCCAACCTTAGCCCAATTAATAATCATCATCGTCATAATAATAATAACAACACTACCATTCCTCCCCACCTAGAGACTTTCAAAACCCCTTTGAATGCTGAATGCCCTTATGAATTATATCAATTACCAAAATGTAAAAAAATTATTTTATGCTATTTCAGAGGAAATCTTACAGCTTCTACCTTTGCCTCTCTCAAACACTCCTAAATCAAAAATGTAAGGAAGCTAGTCCACCTGAGTAGAAGCTGTAGCCATGGAAGAAAACAGAAGAACCTAAAAAGAGCAGCCAAACTGATAAGAAGACGCAAATCTTATATTACTAAGTTTCTGAAAATGCTTATAAAAATAACAAATGCAGAATTAAGTAGTTTGGCTTACAAAAAAATACTTTTTAAAATGTATATAATTTGCTAAGCCCTGTTTGATGATTTAAAATTCTAGAGTCTGACATCTGTTTATAAAATTGAAATTAAAAACTCTATGTGGTTCTCTTACCACAACTATTTTTTTTAAATCTTATGTATAAGTGTATGATTAAGTGTATGTTTTCCCATCACATGTATGTAGGAATCTAAAAAGGTCAGTCAGATCAGATCCCCTGGAATTAGGGCTGTAGACAACTGTGGACCAATGAATGGCTGTTGGAAACAGAACCTGGGTCCACTGCAACTATAAATTTTATTTACTTTGGAATTGGGACCTGAACTTGAGACCTCATGCAAATGATAGGCAAGCACTCTATCACTGAAGTATACGCCCAGCCATTATTTTTTAAAGTCATAATGAAGAGACTATAAAAATGTTTAAATCACTTAAAATTTAAGTTCTATGAGTTCAATTACAAATAATATGCAAATTTTCAACACAAACTGTTCTAAAAAGGTCTAGAGAAAACAATTTTGACAACACCAGTAATTTTTAGAAAAATTTCCATCAATCTGGGACATGATTGTGCACACCTGTATGTAATTCAAATACTCAATTTGAGGCAAGTGAATTAAATCTCCAGGCCAGCCCAAGGATACACAGAAAGCTCAAAGCCTACAGACTACAAGACTATACAGTGAAAGGAATGCAACAGGGTAGCTTAGTCAAAAAGGTTAGCATCAAAAATAACTAGCTTCAGTCATTCACAGATAAGGAGTGGACTTGATCATAAGAAAAGAGTCACAGTACCTATTTTTACATACCTCTATAGTAGGATGAGTATTATGCTTGTAAGCAGTATATAAGGGAAACTGGATTTGAAAAATTTTTGCTACACACAGTAATAGTTTTTCCTTCTCCTCTGTACTCCATAAACTAAAAGGATCAGAATTCTTTGAAGATTCTTCCTCAGTCAGATTACATATTCTTGTAGAGTTTGATTTTTTTTCTATTGATTTTTGTCTTTCTGCATTTCCTTCATTACATTCTCTATCTATATTTAGTGGTTCTTCCGCTTGATTACTCTCATCTTGCCACGTGGAATCTATGTTAATGGTAGCACAATGTTTACAAAGCTGGTCCCGGAGCACTTGAACTTGGGCAATCACTAGGTTAATAAGTGCACACACTACTTGGTTAAAAATCTCCAAATGCTTATATTCCTTGAAGCAGCACAGACATTGCCTACAAAAGAAAATAAAATGCAATAAATAAATGCTTCCTAGAGAAGAAACAATTATACATTTTAATAAGTCACAGACAAAACAAATACTGAAATACTTTTTAAAGCATCAATTTTCCCCTTCTGCTAGAGTAACACTGCCTTTTTATAACAGAATCACAGGCCAGCCAGGCGGTGGTGGTGGTGCATGCCTTTAATCCCAGCACATAAAAGGCAGAGGCAGACAGATGTCTGAGTTTGAGGCCAGCCTGGTCTACAGAGCAAGTTCCAGGACAGGCATTAAAACTGCTAGGCATCATGACATGGCTCCATAACTAGTGAGAAGCCATCTTCAAAAACAAAAACAAACAAACAAACAACAACAACAACAAAAAAAAAAGAATCACAGGCCAGGCATGGTGATATATACCTTAATCCTAGCATTTGGGAAGCAGAGAAGCAGGTGGATCTCTGTAAGTTCAAGGACTGCCCAGGGTTATAGAGAACCTGTCTCAGAAAACCAATAAATAAATAAATAAATAAATAAATAAATAAATAAATACCAACAAAAAATAAGAATAAAAATTTTTTATTAATAAGCCGGGTGGTGGTGGTAAATGCCTTTAATCCCAGCACATGGGAGGCAGAGGCAGGCAGATCTCCAAGAGTTCGAGGCCAGCCTGGTCTACAAGACCTAGTTCCAGGATAGCTAAGACTGTTAACACAGAGAAACCCCTGTCTCAAAAAAAAAAAAAAAAAACAGGAAGTGTCAAGTAAGAACATACTAATCTAGTTCTCTTAAATTCAATTAAGGGTTGGAGAGATGGCGCAGTGGTTAGGAGCACTGCCTGCTCTTTCAAAGGTCCTGAGTTCAATTCCCAGCAACCACAAGGTGGCTCACAACCATCTGTAATGAGATCTGATGCCCTCTTCTGGCATGAAGGCATACATGCAGGCGAAATACTGAGAATACTGTATACATATTAAATAAATAAATCTTTAAAAAAATTCAGTTAATAGCACAATGCCTACCATACTTTGGGTAATTAAAAATCTTGCTACTAAGTAACTAAACAATATGAACAAGTACCACCTAGTTCAAATTATATTAGCATAATCCAAAGACTGATGACAGTTAATCAGCTATTACTCATGATTTATGTCTTCGAATATTAGCAAAATGTGTCCAACATAATCCAAATAAATCACCAGCACCCTGTATTACCACATAGAAAAATAATTTCATTTTTATAGGTATGATAAACTTGACCACAAAACCACTGACATACTTTCATTTGAGAAGCAAACCCTAACTTTTTTCCTCGAGTGTCAAAGAGACTCTCTGATGAATAGACTGTGGTGGAAATTAGAGGATGGGACATCTAAGAATAGGTCCAAAGATATTACAACCATGATCTAGTTAACACTGAAGCTGCCTATTGAAAAAGTATATAGGAAACACTTAAGACCTCCTCCAAACACTTAATGTCGATCCTCTAGCCCCTTGTAAGCCTCCAAGATGATAATAATACCTTAACTAAATCCTTATAACAAATCCAATGACAAATCCAACACAGAATTAACCAACTATAAGTTTCCAAAATCCCTATCAGACTGTCATCCAGTCTCTAATTAATTAAATACTATTTTTGGAAGAATTTGTTACAATGGTGGAATAAAAGGGCTTTCACTTCAAAGGTCTCTGCCGCTATACAATTCCATATTACCAGTATTTTTAAGGGTTTTTTTTTTTTTTAAGACAAGGTCTCACTATGTGACTCTGGATTGCCTAGAACTCACTACGTCGACCAGGCTGGCCTCAAACTCAAAGACCTGCCTGCCTCTGACACCCAAATGCTAGGATTAAAGGTATATGTATGTATATCACAACACTCACTTTGTGTGTGTGTGTGTGTGTGTGTGTGTGTTTATATGTGCATGTGCCTCAAAGGCCAAAGGAGGGCAGATCCCCTGGATCTGCAGTTATGTGCAGTTGTGAACCACCAGACAAGGAACTGAAGATGGCTCCTCTAGAAAAGCAAAAAGTCCTCTTAATCATTGAGCCATCTCTCCACCAACCCCCCAATCCAAATTATAATTTGTATGAGGAAAAAAAAAAAAACAAATATAATGAAGAGGCAGGTAGATCTCTGAGTTGAACTCATAGTGATTCCAAAGTGAGCTAGGACTACAAAGAGATGCTCTCACCTAATCTTAAAACAAACATAAAAAAATTACTCAGGGTGGCGGTGACAGCCACCTCTAACCCCAGCAATCGGGAGGCAAAGACAGAATCTCTCTCTGAGTTAAGGCTAGCCTGGACTACCACACAAATTCTAGGATAGAGCTACACACACACACACACACACACACACACACACACACACAAAGCTGAAACACACAAACACACATAAAACAAATTAGTCATAATGTTTTGTTTTATTTTGTTTTTCTGAAAAACAGTCTGCATACCTCTTATTTCCTATCTCTCTTTTTTTTCCTCTCCAATACTTGGGATCAAATCCAGGACTTCATACAGACTGGGAAAGTCCTCTAATTGCTGAGCCACATCCCTGCCATTTTTTACATTGACAGGATCCAGGCTGATCAGAATCCTCTTGCCTTAAGGACTCCAAAATTTGAGGATTACGGGCATGCACCACCACTCCAAATTCAGCTTCTTCCTATAATACTAATGGAAAATTATCTTTAAAGTGAGAAGCTGTACACTTAGGCATTTTTCTTAGTAAAGCAAGAATCTGAGTTCCTAAAGATCCTGACTCAGACTTAGAATAGGAAAGACAAATTTACTTTCAAAATTAGTTGTCAGAAAATAGGAATTGGGGTTGGACAGATGGCTTAGCTATTAAAAACACTGGTTGCTTTTCCAGAGAACATGGGGTCAGTGTCCAGTGTCCACATGGTGGGTCACAACTGTCTATAACTTCAATTCACAGGATCCAATGTCCTCTTCTGGCCTCTGCAGACACTGTATGTAGGAGATTCATGTGGGCAAAGGACAATAAGCATAAAATTTTAAAAAAGGAAAAATAAAAAGGAAATGAGAATTAATGTATGTAGCAGTGCATGCCTTTAATCCTACAAATATGAAGGAAGAAGCAGCAGGATCTACGAGTTCCAGACCAACAAGAGGTCCACCGTGAGACCCTATCTCAAAAGCAAGAGGAAAAACAGAGGAAAGACATGGGACTTAAGAGACTAAGGCAAGGATGAAGCAGAACAGAAAAAGAGGATTCAATAAAAGGTTATCAAGTAACTTCCCTGCTCGATAGTTAAATTATCACAGGTAAAGACTAAAAAAGCCTAGTTTGAGGTCAGTGTGCTCTACAAAAAGGTTGCCTAGGCCAATCAAGCAACACTGTGAAACCCTGTCTGAAAACAAGAAAAGCCTGCTCCTCATTTTATTTAATATAGTATAAATCATCTTTTTTTTTTCCTTTGGTTTTTTTGACAGGGTTTCGGTGTAGTTTTAGTGCCTGTCCTGTAACTAGTTCTTGTAGCCCAGGCTGGCCTCGAACCCACAGAGATCCGCCTGCCTCTGCCGTCATTTTAAGGTAGCCCACCCACAAAGAATATCCAACTTATTTTGCTGTGCCTTTGTCTTAACCATGAAAGGACAGCCAACAATAAATCTTTGTAAGAGCAAAAAAGAAAAAAAAAAGGGGGGGTGAAATCCACAAAGAATCAATAAAAACTTAAAATAATAATAATTTTTTGCTGGGCGGTAGTAGCGCTCACCTTTAATCCCAGCACTTGGGAGGTAGAGGTAGGCGTATCTCTGTGGGTTCGAGGCCAGCCTGGGCTACAAGAGCTAGTTCCAGGACAGGCTCTAAAACTACAGCGAAACCCTGTCTCAAAAAAGCAAATAATAATAACAACAACAATAATAATAATAATACTTTTTTTTAAAAAGACAAGAATAAATACAACACAGAATGTTCTAGTTTCCTCTCTATTATTTTGATAAACAGTGTCCAAAAGCAAATCAGGGAAGGACAGTGTTCATTTCATCTTACAACTCTGGGTTACAATTCCTCACTAAGGAAAGACAAGACATATAGTCATTCTGGAAGTAGGAACTGGAAGCAGAAATCATGGGAAACAGCTCCTTATTAGCATATTCCATGGCTTGCTCAGTTTGCTTTGTGATAAAACCCAAGACCATCCACCACCGTGGGCCACGCCCTCCAACATCACTTATTAATAAAGAAAATGGCCACAGTCCCGAAATCTCTGCTATGCTGGGGTCTCCACTGCAGCTAAAGTTATACCTTCACTAATGACATCTCCTGTGTTCTCTTCAAGGGTTCCAACTTTGTACCATAGTGCCAATCCTCAACTTCTCCCCATGACCCTTTCAATCCTGGGGTTTCCACCACAGCTGATGCTATACTACAACCAAACAGCTTTCTTTCCTGACCTCTCACAATACCAAGCTCCCTATGATCCCTTAAAAGGAAGTTTTCAGGGATCAGCACTCAAGAGACAAGAGGCAGGCACAGCTCTGAGTTCCCAGCCCAGCCTAGTCTACATTGTGAGTTCTAGGACAGCCAGGGCTACGTAATGAGACCCTGTCTCAAAACAAAACCAAACAAAAAAAAGCAATTTTCACACAGTCAAAAATCAGCTCCATGTAGAAGACTCTTAACATTATCAAGCTCAATTGCCAACTTGATAAACAGCCTTGGCTCCTCTGGACCACAACTTCTGTGTGCTGGCCCCTAGGAAACACTCCACAGAGGATTTCAACTCTATGATACTGGTCTTAATCACGGATGCTTTCTAAGCCATATCAAACAATCATCAACTGTCCCAGCAAAGCAAAGGTTTCATTTCAGTGTGTTTTCCTCCTGTTCAGAGCTGATTCTTTAGCTGCAGCTAACCAGAAACCACAATTACTAATTCAAATAAATCACCACAAATACCCTGACAGAGTTTTTGCTTCTCTATAAATTCCACAAGGCAAGCCTCTATAATCTGCACTGCTCTCTCAACACTCTTG